GTCGAATATCATAAATAATAATGTCACCAGATCCTCTTGATCAGTCAACAGAATGGTTGGAGCTGTTGAACGAGCACCCTATCTTTAGCGACGGTATAGCTAACGAAAATATTGAATGTGAGTTTCCCAGTACGACATAAGCTCCGATTGCAAATAGCTAAACTTAGTTGAGCACATAGAAACCGTTTTTTCTTACTGACTCTGGCGCACAACTTTATCGAAAATAGTTGTCGACGGCAAGCAATCATGCCTTGCGTTCTCAAACAATGAGCTTTACGTTGCTATCGGGTCTAAGATTCGAGTTTTGAATCTTCTAGATCTAATGTCTGCGTTTGTTAGATTTGATCATGACGATGTTACCACGGATGCTTTAGACAGACTGAATGAAGTCGACTACGTGGTACGTGTTCACAGACAATCCCCGCGTTCAAAGTTTAACAATCCAAATAAGTGAATATGACTACAACAGTCGTCTCTTGTTGATATTGCGTGCGTCTTAGGAGTTGCAGATTCCAGAGATTGGATTTCAAATTCGATCGATAGTACCCGATTCCTATCATAAAGCGAGAATGATTGCTGTCGCAGGTGATTCAGAATTGGTGGTTGTTACTTTACCAGAATACACCGAAGAAGATGACGACGATTGCAGGTAAATAGTTGAGTTATAGTAACTGAATAAATTTGCTGATATGATTCAAGTCGCTTTGCTATTCTACATAGAGCATATACTGTTGGAACTCTTCATGAGCCAGGAGAGGGTATTAAAATAATGAAAGTGGCATGGCATCCATTGAGTGAATATGGAAGCCATCTTGTTGTTTTGACAGAAGACGGCGTGTTAAAGTAAGCCGGTACTGATATTCCCTGTCAATATTTGAAATCGAAGAGATTTATCACTATATTTCTGTTCTTTCCAATAAAGAATGTACGATGTATTCGAGGATCTCAAACAACCTGAACAAATAATATATTTTTCATCAAAGGCGCGCCCTCCGTCTCGGTATGCATCCTTTGATTCAAAGTCTGAGGATGCTGCATCATTCTGCTTCGGAGAGGGCGAAGATGATTGGGGCCCTTTTGTAATTTACGTGGTTATGAAGGAAGGTGACATCCGAGCCGTTTGTCCGTTCCTACCGAATAGAAGGTAAGTATGTCATTTGGGAGGTTGCCGAGAGATTTTTTGATGGACTAGCTTAAATAATTTCCATATACGTAATGGGCAAAAAGCATCTGCAGTAGGGAACATCTTGAACGTCTTGCATGTCTTATCTCGTTCAAACTCAGACAGGCAGAGAACTCTTATAATCTGGACAAGAAAGCTTATTCAACACTATATGAGCTATACCGCCGGCAAGCAAAATGGATATGCTCAGTCATGAATCAAATTGAAGACTATGAAAATGAAAAGGTCGTTATTAATCCACCAACTCTTTCCGAACATATTGAAATCCAAGGTCCGTTTGAGATCAATCCAAAACCAATTACATCAACTCATACATATGAGGCTACTGATATTATATACTTGGATTCTGATCCTGTCGGGGTGATTATAATCGCGTATGACAATGGTTTCGTGAACGCGTACATTCAATTCGAAAGAATCGAGGGTGCATGGCAGGTAACGCGCAGAAATGATAAGTTAATTGTAATTCATGAATATTTTGTTACTCAGTCTTTTTTTATATTGTAGTTATCGAAATTACCGCCATACTGTCCGAGTCTTACTTTGTACGAATGTATCGATTTGGATTTTAGCCAAAGTAATACGTCACTGATAAAGCATTCTCCGAGCCTTGTGCGCGATGCACTTTTGCCAGATAGGATTTTTGTCTACCACGGGGAGGGACTTCATGCAATTAGCGTACAACCTTGGCTGCGCGAATTGAAACGGATGTATGAAAAAGGAATAGAGGCAGGAGATATATCGGTGTTGCAAGCGGATATCCATTCGGATGTAATTTGGGTGGCCACTACGCAGGATAATGCGATTCATGCTTCTGGTTCGCATGTTGATGGTAGCGGAAGAATTTTCTTTCAAAATCAAGGGTAAAACATTATGATTAAGATGCAGAGGTTCCAGCAAGATGGTTATCCATCGGTGCACTCGATTTAATATATTATTATTTCTTTAGCCTACCAGAGTCAGATCCTCTCGTCGGTCTATGCCTAATTCATGGTGCTCCATTATGTTATGCGGTAATAATGCTTACAAAATCGAGAACGGTAGCTTGTCAAGAACTTGCACTTCCGACGGCTATAAATGCAATATCTAGTGTTCAGTTAAGACCGTTTATTCAATCGGAAAAACCAGTCGCGTCACCATCGCCGGCAATTGAAGCATTAAGTCAATTCTTCAATTCACAAGGCTTGCCTCGACGACCGCAAATCATTCAATCGCGGAATGTACCTGATTCGTCGAGGGCAAAATTAACACCTGAAATGACTGCGAGCGTTGTTCAACTAGCCAAGTATCTTAATCGATACGCCGAGGCTATAATAACGGGGTGAGGGGGCGCCTATTGATTACACCTATATATACAATGCTTGAAATCCAGTTTGTCAAATCTCACTCGTTTCTGTTATTTAATAGGCTGGATGACCTCGATAACCGTACCAAAGCGCAGGCGGCCCAACTATTTCAGCTTAGTGACGCAATCGAAGGTGCAGTATTGTTTGAAGCTGAAGCGAGAGAACGACTGTTGGCATTGCGAGAGCGTCAACGAACGATAGAAATAAGAGCTATGACACTATTACAAAAGTTACTTCATGAGCAGGAGCCGGCTTCTGACGAACAGCAGCAGATATATTTGGAGAGTCTTGAACGGTTAAAGCTAGAAATTGATGACGAGAATGGTGGTGGATTGCGCGCGAGAATTAATGAAGTGAGTATGCGAATTTAGCGAAAAGACGTTTTTGAAAGTATGCAGACGGAAAATTTATCGTTGTAATTTCTTGCAAGCTCGAAGAAATTCACGAATCATTACGAGGAGACTATCATCTACTCAAGCCGCAGAACAAAACAAGCCTTAAATTGTCCGGAAGTCAATTGGCTAAAGTTCGTGAAGCATTATCTAAAGAGTAAGTGAATGTGTTTTTTTTAGATGAAACATGTATTGCTTGATTCAAACTATTTTGTTGTTGCAGAACGGAAATGATTGAGGAAACGAAACAAAAAATCGATTTTATTCAGGATAAATTGGAGCAGTTGAGATTGAATATTTTATGAGCATAGACAAAGTAGTTGCTACAACAACGATAAAATAAAATACTGGAATTACGTTGCATTAACGGTAAAAAGTGCAATAGTGTGTGGGTGCTAATTAATTCCTTCTCCAAGTAAGTGGAGAAATACAGTAGTTTTGTTTGTGACAAAATATCACTATCCATTATCATATTAATATGGGGCATGCTGCAACAAAACCAGACAAAGTGAACATTCTATAAATGAAGGCTGACTGTGATGTGGCTGTAAAATTGACCAGAGTGAATAATGACGTTTTGAAAAGTAAGAATGGTGCTTATGGACTTGTTAATTTTAATGCTCACTTTATTATACCAGAGTGTGATGAATATAAACCATAACATGATTAATATAGGATTACTTCTATATACAAAAATATTAATATGAAATTAATTTACATCAAATCCATCATGGAACCAAAGAATTATAGCACCATTAGAAGTATTCTAAAAAAGCTCAAGGAGAAAAAATTGCGCCTTATGTTTTTAAAATCAATGATGTGTGATTCTTGGTTGGTGGGTTATTATTGATCAATGATGAAAATTGATTTCGCGTCTTTGAAGGGTCAAGCCAGCCATCCATGCATATTCAAATCGTACTTAATATTCTGCCTCAATTTCTCACACACACATTGGCAATAGTTACCTTTAACATACATGTAGATTATATGAGAATTGGATCCTTGGTTGTGGGTTATTTAGTGATCGATGACAAAATTGACTTTGCGTCTTTGTATTTGAATCAAGCCAGAATATTATGATTATGATTTGAATATGCATGAATGCTGTATCAATTTTTTTGCACACAAATTGGCAATAGTAATAGTTACCTTTAATAATGTGTAGTGATTAAGAATTAAGCTAACCGTTCATGCATATTTGAATCATATCAATTTTTTTGCACACACACATTGGGTAAGTGATTGATGGCTAAAATTGATTTCACGCCAACTTAAACCTTGTAAATTATAGATTCGCTAATTACTAGTACTGGGTTGTAACATATCATGTCTGACAAGTAATTGCTAACACCATGTGATACTGACACCGATTTCTATTGTATATTGGTGATTCCTAATTCCGTAATTGTTGATGTTGTTGATTGCGCCAGGGGCATTGACAGTTGCATTGACGGTTGCACTGACGGTTGCACTGGGTACTGGGGGGCATCGATGGCACTGATAACACCATCACGACTTTCTACTATTTTAGTCAACCATTCTTGATGCTCCTTTGTAAACAGAAGATCACATGTTACATTTTTTGTGGAGATGATTTCATATGGAAAGGTCAATGCCACTTTAATTGCATCTGGAAAATTTTTATTAGATAAATAAAAAAATTTAAATTTGCCAAATATATATATACTTGAATTACCTCCTAATACTAATACTAATGTAACGTTCTTAATATCCTGCCACCGTTTTTGCTGGCTTGTCCAATAAGAATACTACAGTGTAAAACTACAGTCAGCATGTAATAATGATAATCTATACAATATATTTACCATTAAGAAATACCTACCAAGCATCCAGCTCCAAAGAAGGCTTCATATAGATTTTTAAATACAATATTTCTTGTATTTAAGTAGCTCTGCAAAAACAGTCATTGGCACATTAACATAGGAGCCAGAAATCTTTTGTTACAAGAGCAATTTAATATTAATATTAAATTTGACAAATAAAAAGGCTATGCAAAATTGTAACCTACTTACACTGTTTCAGCTTGCTTTTTGATATATTTATCATGTAACTTGCATGCTGACAGACTGACCATGTTTTGGTACCCTATAAAAAATTTGTATTATATATATATTAATAATTAGTATCATTTGCTAATACTAAATATTAAGTCTCCCTCAGTTACAGAAGTATTATAACCACTGTAAATTTGGTCCTTGTACAAGCATATATTAGTATTATAATAAAGAGTAGAGAACAGTATATTAATATACTGTTCTCTACTTAAACTAGACTGTTATCTACTTATGAGTAGACTACTACCTACTTATGAATAGACTGCTACCTACTTATTTTATAGCTACCCATTTTGACCTCTAATAAGCTTGATATTTGCTTCCTTTTAATGGTTTTATGGTATGTAGGTTGTGTTTGTATCGCCATTCAAGAGCCACTAAGGCATGTGCTGAGAATATGTACAATGTGTCGTGACGATAGAAATCCGACACTGTCGTCAGTGTCGTGATATATATTTTATGATACATAGATAGGTAGATAGCTTGTATCGAGCCACATTGGTAAAAAAAATATACCGACGATTTATTAGGTCATGCATCATCATTTGTGGGCCCAATGTGAGGGCTATGCCCGAACCTGGCACGTAGTGCCTTAGCTTTCTAGTTAATTCCTCGATAAGGGTCAGGTTTGAGGCACATAGTGCCGAAATAGTATTTGTATCCTAGTTTTGTTTGATGCATTCGAATATCGATCACGGATGAGGCACGTAGTGCCGAATTGTTAACATATCTGGTAATACACCAAAGCATCCGATGATAAGGCACGTAGTGCCGAATTGTTAACTATTATAATGCACTCGAATATCAATCACGGATGAGGCACGTAGTGCCGAATTGTTAACATATTTGATAATACACCAAAGCATCCGATGATGAGGCACGTAGTGCCAAATTGTTAGCAGTTATTTGGTGATAAGTAAAAGCAAAAATTTATCTTATCTCTTTCCTTATAATATTCTGCTTTTGCGTATCACTTTTTAGTTGATATCTGAATTCTGTTATCTGACCCCTTTTTTTTAGTGATATGTAAAAGCACAATTTTCTTACCTCTTTCCTTATAATATTCTACCTTTACGTATCACCAAAATTGTCAAAAAATTGGATCACACTACTATATATCACATGTGCATTATATTTTGATAACCTTTACGTATCACTTTTTGATATCTACCTAATGATACGTTAAAGCTCAATTTTTTTTGTAATTTTTGTATATTATCTTTACATATCGCTTTTTTGGCACTTCATGCCAGCTCCACTATATCTACTTAATGATACGTAAAGCTCAATTTTTGTAACCTTTGTATATCACTTTTTGATAACCTTTGCGTATCACCTTTTTAGCACTTTATGTCGGCTCTGCTGATATCTACCTAATGATACATAAAAGCTCAATTTTTTTCTATTGCAAAGCAATGACTCTTCGAGTCTACTTTTGCATATCACTTTTTCGATATCCGTTTGATGATATATAAAGTTTGAGTCTGATAAAAATTATGTGACACAAAAATGGTTATCGAATACGTACCGTATATATAGATGCAAAGTATCTAAAACTTACCTGAAATTTCAACGAATAAACTCTTGCTCGAAGCATTAATTTTTTATTTGAATTTTTTCTTATACTTATTGTAAAAGGTGACAAAAATCCCTTTACCCGGATATATAACTAGCTAAATGTAGCAATCTCTCTGCTCCGAAAATTACTACTCAACTAGATTGTATTATCTTGAACAACAGTTACGCATATTCAATGAGGGCCAAAGAGCGGGTTTTTAATTCTTTTTTGTATGGAGTAGTAGGAACCTTCATTTTAGCCTCAAAATTTCGTTTATATTTCAAGAAAGCGACCTCATCCATACTCTCGCGCTCTTTTTTCCAGTAATTATGATTATCTCGCATTTCGAAGAGAATATTATTTTTCCATTTTTCTAATCTTTCTTGAGACATATTAAATTTTTGCTGTAAAAGAAGGATAAGGGCATCTATATCAGATTCGTTTTTAATAAGAAATTCTGAAGATAGAGGAGTTAAGGATTCGGGTATTTTTTTCTCAACTGTGCGGGCTTCACTAATAGTAGTATCAACATAGCATCTATCTTGGACAAGACCAGCAGATTGATTATGGGCTGACGTTTCTAAAGATAAAGCTTTTTCATCAATCGTATTACTCGATGAATCAGAAACTTTATGCTCTATTGCGGGACAGGCCCATAGGGGCGAGTTACACTCATGGCTCTTTGAGCCTACATAATCTGAAGTAGCATTATTAGTAATAGGTACAGAATCGAAAAGATCCTGAATTTCATCATTTATCTTTGGCTTATACGATGGAAGAACTGGATTTATAGGGCAATATTCAGGATTATCTAACTTTCTAGCCATTACTTCTTCGTGATTATCAAAACCGCGACTATTATATGGCTTTCGATTAATTTGATATGAATACTTCCAAATTTGTTGTCCTTTAGATCCTACTAATTTTCGTTTACTTTTTATAGTATAGCCACACCAATTGCCAACAATTGCATTGATTGCTTTTATAGCTGAGTTGAGATCTGGTATTTTTTTTGCGCGAGATTTAAAGCCAAAGAGTAATAAAGATTGACTTCGAATTTCTATAAATTTTTCACAAGATGCCTCAAACGCAACTTTTACCTGATCATCTTTCTCTACTCCAGTTTCATTGGTATAACATAGAGCAAGTTTCTGTTGGGCATTATAATTAGCATGTCCTTGTTCAGCTGTTCTATGATATGACTCACTTTGAATCTCTGCTTCCATTTTGTGTATGAGACTTTCACTTATATTAATTCATCCTTCAATTATTTATCCTAAGATCTACATTACTATTACTGACATGTTAGAATGTATTAATGAAAAAGAGGCACCGAGTTATGTTGTAGGCAACAAGTGCAATATTACCTAATTACTATCAAACACATATAGTAACTTTTAATTTCTTTTGAAAACGTCTACAGTCTTAAAAGTGATCATAAACCTCCTCTTCGACCTGTGTGATTTCGTTTTCAAAACCATTCAGTGAGCCTACATTGCTTGCCAACGTCTATACAGTACATATATAATAATACAAGGGATTTCGCACCACAGAAGGCAACCTGTCTACTGAATATAAATAATACTTTGTTTCGAGTAATTAGACAGGTAGTCAGTACCATATCATATGATCTAATGTGGTAATTGCAAGGTGAAAACAGAAGAAAAGCCCTTGTTATGACGAAATGCAAATACTCAAGTTTATCCATATCAATATCAACTGTCTGTTCCCTCACAACAAAGAGAAATGCTTTTCCCGCTCTAACTGATTAACATTATTCCTTCACTATATCAAACGAAACTACACAATAGTAATAATAATTGATGCCCATTCCATGTCTACTTTACAACTTACATAATAATAATAATAATAATAATAATAATAATAATGAAAAATCCATTTTTTACAGAAAGCTTATTATTATTGAGACTGTCATCACCAAAACTTTAAAACGTCAGCATGACCAAGAACTAAGCCTATCATCTATGAACAGTAGCAAGAGAAAGCAGCTTGCAAAAATTTAATTTATGGCCTTACATATCAGTGGAAGGATGTTTCTGAAAATCTTTCTCCAATTTAAATTGGCAATAGGCCAAGGTCATTCCAATTAGTATTTGATCATGCCATTTTACTATCCCGATCACGTGATACTTCAGGGAATTTAGCAAAGTGAACATCTGCGGTGTGGTCAAGTCTGTTCACTACAAATTTTATTAATTATGGTCCCATATCAGTTATTGCTTTGTTCCCTTTTTAAGAAGTTTGATGCTTAATTTTTTTTCATTACAAACCCGATATGGGCAAATTGATAATAATAAACGAACACAAAATTTATATTTGAGAATCTACAGCACTGACAAGTTTAAAATTCGAAGTGAAATCTTTATTATATAGTTTTTCGTAAAATGATATATTAATATGAATAAGGACCGGCAGCCCAAGTAAAATGGAAGTAAAAAATGACAGGCAACAGTATGTTTCAAGGGAGGAAGGTATGAAAGAGCATGCCTGGTCTACTAGGCCCCAGCCATCCGTGGGTATTAAATAAATAAAAGGTAGAATCGCATCCCACCGGCCTAATACTAATTTTATTGGTTAAAAATTTCGATACACAACCGCGGGAGTTAAAATTCAAGTAAGACAAGCATGTGCCTTTGTTTCTCGAACATGGGCGAAATTCTCCCTTTCTACCAGAATATAACTAGATTTTAATTCATGATGTTGTCAGAACCACACAAGACACTCTTGGATGATATTGCAAAATTATATACTCTAGCTGATGACTACAACGTTTCCATAGAAGTCGGGGAGGGGCGGAATATGGAGGTGTTTAAAGCGCATTCCGTTATTCTGAGAGCGAGATCACCTTATTTTAAGTTAGCTTTATCACAGACTTGGGTAAAGACTTTTGACCAGATGATACTGTTTAAGAAACCGAACATGACGCCGGATGTATTTCGAGTCCTTCTGAGGTATGTGTATTGTATGATCTGGACGTACCTCCGGTCAATCTGTTCACGTCCAACTTACTTTTATCCGTCCTTGCTATATTAAAGATATATCTACACGGGTCAAGTCTCGTTTACAGACTCCCCAGATTTAGATTTGTTAGATCTAATCCTTGCAGCAGACGAGTTGGTTCTTGTTGAACTGGTGGAACAGGTACAGGCCCATATAATAAAAGACGGGGGGTGGATTCAACGCAATATCATAAAAACTTTACATCTAGCCAATAAACTAGAAACATGTTTGGAGTTACGTAATTACTGCAACGATATAATTTATCAGGATCCAGAACTGATATTCAGAGCGCCTGATTTTTTATCACTTGAAGAAGAGTTTCTTGTTGCTCTATTAAAAAGAGATGATCTTGGCATGGAGGAAGTATCTGTCTGGGAGCACGTAATTCGATGGGGAATAGCTCGGAACCCCTTGCTTGATAAACCACCCGAGACATGGACTATTGAAGACTTTGACACGCTTCGCAACACGCTCTCTTCCACCTTTCCTCATATTCGGTTCTTCAATATCTCGCCCGCCGATTTCTACTACAAAGTTAGACCATATAAGAAAAGTCTTCCTCCCAAATTACGTGCCGATATCAAAAAGCACCATTACGTGCCTGACGCCGAGATTGAGTCTGTCATACTTCCTCCTCGGATTCAAGTTAATAAACCCGATTCCGTGATCATCAATGCTAATCATATTGTGCTGCTTGCTCGATGGATCGGCGGACAGGATGATAACCCGTTTTCAAGCGACAATTTATTCTTGTGTCGTAAAGTGCCCTATAACTTTAAGTTATTGCTCCGTGGAAGTAGAGACGGATTTGACTCTGATGTATTTCATACGTTATGTGACTATCAAGGCGCTACTGTAGTGATAATTAAGACAGGATCTGGACAGATAATCGGTGGATATAACCCGGTTAATTGGAAGTCGTCTGGAGAATGGATAGCTACAACTGAAAGTTTTATTTTCAATCTAAATTACGGTAATGATTTGCTTAATGTCAAGCTCAGCAGAGTCAATGATCGCGCGGGAGCAATATGCGACTTTAAAGGACTGAGAGCGACTGGATTTGGAGGTGGAGATTTGAAAATATTTGGGCATATGTGTAACAGGGCATCGTATGAACACGATATACTGAATGAGACTACCTTTACTCGTGAAGAGTATGAAGTGTTTAAGATAACACGGAAGAAACATCCACCTCCATTTTTACAAAAGAGGATGGTGAGTGGTCATGATGGAATAGCTGATTATTAAAGACGCAAAACTGATTTGATCTAGGACGTTAATCAAGAACGTAGACGTGACATAAGGAGCTGTATGCATTGCTATCATACGTGATACATGGAACAGCCAACTATATAGACATATATCACAATCCATCATACAAACTCGAGATGTTCCCATCACCACATTCTACCAACCCCTCTCCAAACGCGCAGCAACGAAAAGAATTCTGCTGAAAGAGGTTCTCTAAATTTCTTTGACTGCTAGGATATCGTGCTCCCGGCTTTTTGGGTGGTTTAAGTAGATGAAGATAGTAGTATGATATCAGCGAGGCCGATCGGCTATGGGAAGCAATAAACGAAAGTTCTTGGTTACATGACTGTGTTCGATGTCTGTTTTAGTCAATCGCTATTGCACAGGACTTTTTTGACAGTCGCTTCTTTATGACTATCGTTCGTAGCACATAACCATTAACGCTTATTGTTATTGAGAGCGCGAGCCAAATAAGGCCAATCGTTTATAATTAGTCCATCTTTATAACGGTGTCGGTGGAAGTATCTTTCTAAAGATATTAGTCTTAGTTATGATATTCAAGGCGTATTGACATTTCTCTCGGCACCTCTCAGATACCTTCGGTCAGAATATTCAATTGTGAGCATATCTGTATGCGTTCGCACTTCAAATTCGAACCAAATTGCGCTCTTTTTATAAACAAAGATTGTGAGAAGACTTTGGGGAACAAAAAGAAAAGAATTTTTGCTGTCTTCCTGGCCATCCCTACTTGGCAACAACGTTTGAACAACAGCAATTTGAAATACAAGCTGTCGCGCATGCGATTACGTTATACACGTTACTGATTTTGAATTCTGTTCAGTTATATGCAAAGACTCATTAAAGCCTTTCAAGTAAGAAAGATCTATCCACTTTCGAAATTCGGTTCAGGTAATGCAATACACAATTAGTGGTCCATAAATGTTGTGATACAAGTTTTCGGATTAACGAATCGTTCTGCTGTTATTCATCAAAATACAATTTGCGACTACACTTAACTGATTGTCAGCCGGGAGTAATCTTGTTGTCGAGTAATGTCCGCTCGCTGGTTTGGATCGGGACATGCACAGTTGATTCATCAATTTGAATTGAAAGTTTTATTTTCATGTTTGAATTTTCGGTCTCCTTGGCTTGTCGGGCGGTTATACAGTTACATTGAAATTGTGACACAGAATGAGTTACCAGATACAGTCTAACTCGTCTTCTGTCCAGGAGAACACGGCTGAGAGGAAGCCGTGACTGTTACTCAGCCATGAAGGGTAGCGAAACCTCGCCATACGTCTACGAAGGGAACACAATCGGACGTAATATATTTTCGTGATCTTTTTGTCGTGTGCATAGTAATACGCAATGGCTTTTCTCAACTAACCATATTTTTCAAACAAGGTTCTTTCCATGTGCGACTGACACAAGCTTGTTTTGTAGAATACATACTTTTGAACAAATTCCTTTGGTGGGAATTTGCGGGCGACTTCTGAAATAGATTGCGGCAAAGGTTTGAATAAGCACAAATTAATTGTATGTCAAGTTGGCGTTTTTGACACCTAAATTCTGCACATCAAAATGATTTTTTTTTAGCCTGATACAGCAACGACATAATTACTACGTAACAGCGCAGTTGAGAAGATTTTACATGTGACTCACGATCTGATCCATCAGATAACGACGCCTAGTCTTGAAGGTTTTGGTGTTACCTACTCATGCCTACTCTGCAATGAAAGAATTTTATATCTCAGCCCGCTTACCAGCCACATCTAAAATGTCAGGCATGATGTAAATCGCAAATTAAATTTTTTATTTTTAATCAGTAACACACGTGAAAACAAGTGATGCCCATTACTGTCCTACAAGGTTAAACCTTAATATGGAATACCTGACCCGCTTCCAAAAATCGAAACGCTCCGGGCCATGGTTAGTATTTCGAGCAGATCACGTTACGCAAATGATGAAAGAAAAAAGAGTTCGATTCCCCACAGTTTATAAAACGAGAAAACTCCCAATCAAGACAGAATAATAGGATTGGGGCTGTACAATTGAAAAGGTGTTTATGCACTTTTCCTATGAGAATTAAAAATAAATTGTCTGCAGTCACCTTCAAAGTTCCATAAAAAACGCGTTGAGCTATGCTAGCACACATGACAGTGTTTATAAAAGGTTCATTCCCAATTTCGCTTGGGTATAAAGATAAAGGACATGTCCAATTTCTTTTCTATTTTGTATAATACAATTCATAACTGTAACCAGTAACAAGATGAGATGAATATGTAAAAGAGATAGAACTATAGGATGTTATGATTCGTTAATCGTGATAACCACGTCGACTAATAATCTCTCACCCCACCCCAAACTTTTATCACAAATATTGGCATCCCGCGGATAAGAAAAAATATAAAAAGTACTTTTTTTTATTCCTTTTTTTTCTCGAATAAGGATGAAACCATTTGACTACCTCATAGATACCCCAGCTCCAACTTTCTACTTCCACTTACGTTCTTAATAATGATAACCATTACCAGTTCAAATCGCGCAATAAAGCATGATACCCTAGGATGCAGGGCCACACGATGTAGTAGAATTAACTACAAAGTAAATTGATCTCTCGAAGTAATGATAACGTGTCTAGACGCTTTATTTCCATCGATTTTTACAGAAACATCGTTGCATATCGAAACGCAATACAAGTGTCAGTGTAGACCAGCGACGACTCCTTATTTATTGACCCTTCGTTTGGTTATTATTCTTCTTTCTACGTGGCGGAGTTGTGCCCGGTCGACCTCCAGTATTACCGTAATATTTAGGCTTTCGTTCTGCAGGTTTTAAGATCTGCAAAAGAAGAGGCAAGCGTGAAAAACACAGATGAGACATTGAAACGTTCAGACAAACCACCCTGCTACTGGGTAACAAAATGCTGCAACGCAACGGTGAAAATACCTGGAACGAGCACATAAGCGTCTCGTCTACGCTCATCATTGCCCCTGCATTGTCAAATTCTCCACAATAATTTGGTGCAGAGAAAAGTGTGACAAGCTGCCGTTTGGCAAAAAACTCATATCCATCCTCCACTACTTGATGCGCTCGACATATCAAATCCATATCATGCCTTTTTAAAAACTCGCTGACAATATCGGGACCAAATGTGAAGGATACGCCACGATCGTTTTCATTCCAACCAGCGACTTCTTTATCTGGGTCAGACCATAATAAGTCGCACAGCAGACCTGGAAAATAATTAATTAGAATACAATAGATAAACAGGGGACTTAAAGCAACAACAAAAAATTTACCAGTATCCGGCACATCAGTCGGACGCATGACCCTTCGAATCTGTTCCATATTCCGAAGGTCGGGTGATAAGCCACCATGCATTGTAAAAATTTTTTCATCGATGATTGCGGCAATTGGTAAACAATTGAAGCAATCAGTGAATGTCTTCCACAATTTAATATTGTACCTTCGTTTGCCTGAATAATTAAATAGTGACAAGACAATCGTTACTGAGTATTAAATGCAAACAAAGATAAATGTGCATGCTTTATTATCAAGTATCGTGTCAAACTTTGCATAAGCAAATCTTTCTCCGTATACCATCTTTTCCCTCTCCCCATCCTTCCCTTGCATACCATCTTTTCCCTCTCCTCATCCTTTCCCATCCTTTCCCATCCTTTCCCATCCTTCCCCCCATCCTTCCCCCCATCCTTCCCCCCACCCTTTCCCCATCCTTTCCCCCATCCTTTCCCCCCATCCTTTCCCCCCATCCTTTCCCCACCCTCCCCTCTCTCTCTTACGAGATCCAATTTTTGCATTTTTGAATTATTGCTTACATTCATCGTAAAATCCATAAATGCGGTTGATACTTGCGCATTCGTGGTTTCCACGTAGGATGAAAAAGTTTTCTGGGTATTTTATTTTATAGGCCAATAAGAGACAGATTGTTTCCAACGATTGCTTCCCTCGGTCTACATAGTCTCCAAGAAACAAGTAATTTGCCTCGGGTGGGAAACCACCATACTCAAATAACCTTAAAAGATCATAATATTGACCATGTATGTCACCTGCAGATACACAAAATCATTGCAAACGAATTGAGTATTATACATGAAATATGCAAAGACGGTACGCTCGTAAAACGAACGAGGAAAACGGAAAGGGGAAAAGAAAGGGAAAAGGAAAAAATATATAAAGAGCTTACCGCAAATCTTTATCGGTGCTTCTAATTCAAGAAGTATCGGTTGCGATATAAAAATTTCTCGTGCCTTCGTACAGAGATACCTAATTTCATATTCCACTAACTGTACTTGCTTGCCAGGTCGACACCCTCGTACTAAGCAGATGGGTGGAATAAGTATGGAAGGCGAGCTTTAAGTGAATAGTCGAGGCTCGTGACATATTGTTTTATTTTCCTTCCGGCTACTGTACAAGCCAGAAATATAACTAAAAATAAAAGTATATCTTATTCAGTTTTCAGTTTTGTACCTTCGAGTAATCTTTCAATGACAGAGTCGATGTCTATTTCTGCTACATCTGCCATACTTTAGCTCTTGTTTAGTGAGGTGGCAAGAGCTTTTTGAATGTTATGGTGGGAACGTAACAAGAGACCTTCAGTAAAAGCGTTTCGTAAGCGAGAGACGATGGATAAGGTGGGCTTCAGTCGGATGAGTAAGCAAGAGTGGAAAGGTGTTGTGAGCGTTGGGCGTGGAGGATTGAGTGCGATTACCCAAATAAGAGAAATTGAGTGACATCAAGTTTATGTATCATCACGCTTCATAAGTTTCAATACGAGTGATCAATCCGATAAACCCAATTTCTTGGCTCCCAACAGTTGTGACAATTGGAAGGGTTGCAAAACTACTAGAATTAATGGATAAAAAAATCGATATCTTAATTGGTCTGAATTGTATGATTGCACAGGATGATACTTTTTCCCGAAGTAAAATTTCTGGGTTCTTTGAATATAGCTTATTCTATATATAAAAGGAAATTGACAAAGAGCAAGAAATTTGAGGCGTAGTGCGCACATTTATTTACTTGTCATTTTTCAGACGTGACGATTAAATTACGGTTGTGTCACAATAGCATCGATTCACGTGATCATACATAATAATAATAAATCCTTTCAATAGAGTTATTTTATGATAATGTCTCCTTCTTTCCTGCAAAAATCGATTGATCATACTCTTCTCGGAGCTTATCGGCTTAGAAAGTCCAGCCAATAATGTGTATTCGACAGCTAATTGGTCCATTATGATTAGATTGTTCTTGTTTGAATGCTATAGGTATCCGTCAGTCTCACAGACTAACAAATGTTTACAGGTCTATTGTTATAAAATGTCATCCATTAATTTCACAATCCTAAATCCGGTAATACTCTTTACGACTACGGATTTTCCGTGTCTCTGAATCTTGTACTTTTTGTTTACAGTTTCGCAAGTGACCTACTAGAAACCAACGTCCAATTCTTTGGAAACCGGTATTGACTGGCTACCCAGTCTCCCCACATTAATATAGTCCAAACCCAGCGAAATGGTGGAATTAAAAAGAAAAATTTCACTCGTCAGTGAAACCATTGATGTTGTCAGACATATAGATACAATCAGAGGAAGGACTCACTTGTTGACTGTTTCTAGTCGAAAGACAGGTTCATAAAGAATGCAGGTCTGTTTCTTATGTCAGATCTCGATCTCCCGGGCAAATCTCTTGCTTTTCACCTGCAACTAAACTTCCGTATCAATATGATTATCACTATAAATTATATATTAAGTTTTTATAATTAAAGCACGCGGCAACATTTTTGAAATTGCTACATGCCGTCACACAATGAAGGTACATGTACGATAATCCTTTACCATAAATCGCAATTGTTTACGTAATTAATTATAGGTTATGTATGATTTGCTTTTCGTAAAAACCGTAATATCCCCTTTATGTATTAGTGTACGATAGTCTTTTTATTTTTTCAAGCAGAATTCGGCTATGATAGTAATTACCAGTGTAAATACATAAGTATGTTTGTCATGTGTCATCATGTATCCAGTCGCAAACAGTTGAACATCTAAAATACAAATACATATGAAGCAATCGCAGTCGGTCTATTTCTGTCTGCATTCTCGTAACCAGACCAAGTAAATTGATTGGCTTATGGCTAATTGCTTGTTCCAGACGAGTCTATTTTTAAGTTACTGAAAATCACGGTACAGTCATAAATTCAATTGCGCTAGCACGTGCGGCCTAAAGTGAATCTTTGACAAAACTCGCTAGAAACTATGAAAAGTCAATTTATGGCTTGATTCGAATGGAACACGCCTTCTTGATATACTTATTAAACAATACCGATATAGAATGTATCCTTTCCCATACATATTTTATATCGCCTCATAATATTATTATCTCACCCCTTACGCACTCTCATCATACATTCGCCACATTGTTCATTTCTCTGATCCAAACACGGTGCAAACAAGTTGATTAGATAGATGTTTTTGTTTAAATCTGGTGAAATTAACAACGAGGCTGCGAATAGCAAAGCTGACATTCTAAGCAAATAAGATGCATCACGATCGTATATCGAAGCTTATCCTATTCTGTCAATAAACTTTCTGTATATGGTACCGGCTTTGAGGACATTTGTTTAGACACATCTGGCATTGTCGCGTTCTTTATTGGGCTAGACAGGTTTCATTTTAAGAGATGGAACGCGCTATTTGTTGTTGCCTAAACAGATTTGGACATCAACAAGTCGTACTGCATTATTGTTAACCGTCACCCCAGTACAGTATTCATAACAAAAATCACGTTCTGATGACGCAGCAAAGAAGATAATGTTGATAGCAAATGTATACTAATGCTGACTGACTGAAACGAAGGGATTGGTGATAACAGTAGTTGGTGATAACAATAACAGTTCGCTATGTATGCATGGAAATTTCAACGAACGATAATCACCTGGCTAAATTATTTATTAGTGGGAATGAGTCATTAATGCTATTTATACATGCCCAATAAAATTACTAAACCGCTTGCTTGATATCGAGGCTAATACTAATATTAATTTGGGATGACTTGAATGTTAATGAAAATCGTACGACTGAAACTTAGAATAATAAGATTGACGCGTTATTGATCAATTGCACATTTTTTATTAAAATCGAACTCTTTACTATATCAGGAGCGAGATACTTATATTACGCAAATATATCGTTAGAGTGGGAATTGAAGTAAGTAAAAGCGTTCACTTTTCGCATTCTAAAAAACAAATCAAGCTCACCGTGAATTAACCCAATAGAAGCGGCGATATTGAGTAATACAAATACAAGAAAATATTGTTCTAGCCACCATCATCTGATCAAGCGAGACGAATAAGCCCCTTTTTTATCGATAACTCCGAAAGACTGATTAAAGTCATTAAAAGAGGATGCACGACGCGGTTACTTATTCTTCCTACAGCTGGCAACCAAATTTAATTTCGTCTTAATACTAAAGTCCGTTTTTGGTTGCGACCGCAGTAAAACCTCGCTTTTTCTTTAATAACAATGATTTCTTTAGCCGAACGGGAAAATCCTCTCACTTGAAGAAACCCCAATTGATGCCAAACCATTTAGTTGAAGGGTCACGGATTATATTCTTCACAAGTACCTAATGCATCCCACATACAATCAAAACGGAGATTGTGTGCCTTAACTTTCCAATCTATTTATTACATGATAAATTTGAATAAACTCACAAAATTTATTGAGGTAATTAAACGAATAAACTAAAACTTAATATTAAACAGTGACTTCTATGTATAATGTACGTTCTCAATGCTATTATAATACTCTACCACATATTCATTCACTTTTCTCATCCCATCCGCTAACAACTCTTTCAAATTCGCTCTCTATTTTCAGATATGGCCTTCTAGTCACAGATGGGGCAATGATATTATAACTCTTCAATCGTCCATTCAGCTTTTCCAATGCAATTTTAAAATATTCCTTTTCCCTCTCCTCCCATTCTCGATCTCTCTTTCCCAACTCTTTTCCGTGCGTTTTGGCGTTTCTCTCCCAACTATCCCTAACACGTTTCCTAAATGCTTTCAATTCTGCATCAATCTCCTTTTGCAATTCGATCCAATTGGGAGCAGCACCCTGCTTTTTTATTAGCCGATTCATAAAAAACTCGGTCCGAGTGAGACAAGGATTAGATTCGTTAGGATCGGTCGGCAGAGGCTTTCCTTTATACGGAAGACTGGAAAACTGTCCGCGGGCCATCGATTCAAGAATACGTTGCTCAACTAGGTTGCCCCAACCTGAGACCGAGTAGAGCGCTAGATGCTGTCCTCGCGAAGGAAATTTGGGCGTGACTGACGCACCTTTATCCGCATTGTTATTGCTATCCGTCTCATTACCACCGTATTTCTTCTGCAATGCATAATCGATAACTGCATCGCGAGCATTAACTAATCTTCCTTTCGCGGCTTCTCTGACTTTATTTTTCTTCTCTTGCAAAATCTTTGAAGCTTTATGCGGTTCTGTGGATACAGTCGTCGGTGGCAGATAATTTGGTGTTGCGAATGGTCGTTTACTATGGGCATCAACATATTCCTTTACAGTCTCTCTTTTGATGCGAAGAGGCGGGTATTTATCCAAGAGCATTCGTATGACTGTTGTCTTTAAATCCTCTTCGCCTGTCCAAGGAACATCATTTTCGCGAGCGAAGGAATTTTTTATAATCGTTGAAATCGAGGTTGACGCTGATTTCTGGCCGGGGGAAGAGGAGCAGGTCTCATCGCTATCATGTACACCATTGGTAGTTGAGTGAATCTTGGGTGGATCTTTAGTCGTTGTCGAGAAAGGTTTTATCAGATTATGACATCTGTTAATATTTCTAATATTTCGTGCTCTGTAGAGGAAAGGCATGCTTTAACGTTGAAATCACATGGTCATAGAAATTACGTCCGGGAGTTGCGCGATTGGTTGGATGTGAATACAATTCACACATTCTAAATGAAGCGCACGCTCTGTTGGTTGATGATGAAAGGAACAACTTTTGGATAATCGTCTGATATATCTGATGACACGAGAGCAAAAGTGATTCGCTCGTGTGCCCTTAACATTGCTGTTGGGAGTTGTCGCGTAATTTTAATTTGCGGCAATGATTAAACTGTATATCAGTGAACAGCTGTCAAATCTTCTTGCAACGCCTGTTGTTGATTACAACACGCTTATTTTCTTTGAGGTTCCTATACATAAGATAAGCGTAATAAATATTCACCCACTTCACCGATGAAAACACATTGTTTACGAAAAGTGGGAGAATTATTATTATTGAAACGTAGAATTGCATGGAACACTTGCATAACATGGTTTATTTGAACAGGCCTTACTTAGGATTCCTGACCGTTTCCTTAAACTAGAATAAATTGAAATACCAGGACTGTTGGGCTGTAACCTAATGCTATTACTATATAAAGTTTATGTAAATTGGATTAAATTATATCATATCAATGTAACTTATTGAGTAATGTTCTATCTAATTACAATATGCTTAATTATAACATATTAATATTAAAATGTTAGGTGACTAATATGATTGCCTCTATATAAAAAAAATCAATATTAATATGAAACTTATTTACATCATGGAACCCAAGAGTTACAGCACTATTTATATTAGCAGTATTCTAAAAAGAACAATATTCCTTATATTAATATTAATTTCAATCAAGGTCACTTTTATTTTTTGTCTCTTTAACCTCAATTTAAGTAATTTGACCATCTTGTTGCCCTTTAACAATTTATTTTCCTCTTCTAACTGTTGATTTTTTCTTCTAGACTCTTTATTATTATCTTATCCAATAACCCTTGCTTCTTATTATTATTCTGTCTTTTACTTCACTCTTCAGACTTCTCTTGAAAATTTGCTACTTCTTCTCTTTCAATTCTAACACTAATGCTTCCTCAGCTGTGGTAGTGGCTAATCTTCTTGTAATCTGTTTATTTATTATTTGTCATTGATAAAAAGTGGTCATGTTTTTTCTTTGATTTATATCCATTTTTATTTCATTGTCATTCTACATGTGATAGTGATGGGTTGTATGCATACTAATATAATATATTATATGGGGCATGCTGCAACAAAATCAGACAAAGTGAACATATGATGTTGTTATTGTCATCAGCTCAAATTTTTTTAATGAATTGATGTTGGAATGAATTTCCTCAATTTTCTTTGATCTTTGTTTTCACTCAAGGTCATTTCTTTACTTCTTTGACCTCTATTTGAGTTCCTTCAACCTAGCAACTTCAGTTTCTAGTTCTTAATTCTGTCTACTTTGCCTTACTCCACCCTTTGGAGACTTGTAAGGCTTTGAGGTGAGTGTTGAGTTTTATTTTAGCAGCTGCTAATTCTTTTTCCAGTTCTTTGATTTTGCTTTCCAATCAAGAACTGTAAGCTTGAACAATTATGGTTTTCTCAGAAATTGGTTCAGTATCTTGAGCTTCTACTAATCTACAAAGCAACTAATTCTATTTCTTTTTACTCTACCACACTTTTCACATTAAGAATATTATTGTCAAAATTTTTTCTACAATCCTTGCAAATATAAGTACACTCACTACCAAAAAGTATTGGCCGAGATTTGCTGATCAATAGTAAAACATATGAAAACCCTTTTTTTTCCGAA